CATAAACAATGAATTACTTTATATCAGTTCTCATTCATAACACTCTTAATCTACCCCATTTTCCATCCTAAAGTTGTCAAGAATATTGTTAGCTTTTCCCTTAGAATACTAATTACATGCCCAAGCTCTTTCAAAATGACTTCTCTGATTATGTCATTTCCATACATAGAAATTGTCCTTAGTTTGCTTCTATGAACAAGTCTATTTGTCTGTCCTGTGCTGTGTGCCTGTCTCTCCTCATCCCTTCTTCCCACTGGAAACTCCTCTTTCCTGAAACCACACTACTGTATCTACTTCTGTATAGTGACAGATCTGACATTTTTTCTGAATGTCACCTTCACATCAGTTGCCCACTTTACTATCCCTACATAGGACTACCAGTTTCCCTAAACACAAACAAATTCTCAGTCTACAGTTTTCTTTTTCCAGTGCATTGTCAAACACAATTCCTGGAACAAAAAAAATCAGTGAATAGCTATTAAATGTATAGTTGTATATTTTAACCAAACATCCTTTATAATCTGGTTTGTCTTTCTTTCTATCTTTCTTTCTCTTTCTTTCTTTCTTTCTTTCTTTCTTTCTTTCTTTCTTTCTTTCTTTCTTCTTTCTTTCTTTCTTTCTTTCTTTCTTTCTTTCTTTCTTTCTTTCTTTCTTTCTTCTTTCTTTCTTTCTTTTTTTTTTTTTCTTTCAGAATTGGGGATTGAACTCAGGCCCTGGCACTTGCCAGGTAAGTGCTTATTCAACTGAGCTCTCTCCCCAGGCCTCTATAGTGTGGCTTTTCAATTGATTCATTTCAGAACCTTTTCTGTACTGTACATAAGTACACCCTGAAATAGCTAAATGGAAATTACTTGAGATTATGTCTTTAAATACCAAAATTAAAACACGTTCATTTAATTTTGGTTTAGATTATAACTTATTTTTTGATCTTCTAAAATATGTATTAAAATTCTTTGATTTGATTTCACATAGTCTCTTTAGAGAACAGGACTAATGGTTTGAAATTCTCCTAAATGTTTTTTGCTACAGTTACAATTGGAACTATTTTTAAGGTATGTCTGTTATTACTGGCTGTGACTATTCTGATGTTTATGAGAAATAAGGTGCCTAAAAATTGGTAATTCATCAATAATACTCTAGGAATCATACCTCTATTTTTACTTTGGGTTTCAAAAATTCAATTCTGAAATAGAATAAAATGCAAGATACATTTATCTCAAAAAATTAAACTACCTGGGCCTTCTGTGCTGGCCCCATCCCTAGGGCGTGCTGAGAGGGCATTTGAGATTGGGCATGGTGGTGTGTGCTGGTAATCCCAGCACCTAGGAGGCTG